GAATCTTTTCCTTTTTACAGCAGTTTAGTGCCTGAATGATGCCAGCAGAGTCCTTCTGGATGGATGTGGGTGTGTGTGAGCCCCTGCTCCTCAAGGTTCATCTCCAGTGAAGCAGCTTCGTGGTGCTGGCCCCATCAGCACCGGGGTGGGAAAAGTGCAAATTTGCATTGTAAGCCAGGGAATTCAGGATTGCAATCCCTGTCCCCAGGAGTTTGGCACATCCATGGCTGCAGAAATGCCATTGCTGGGGGGGGAAGCACAAAGCTGGGAGGGAGCCTGGGCTGTGCCAAACACCCAGTGGGACACAGCAGGAGGAATGTTTTATGTGGGCTTTCCTGTTACAGCTGCATTCACCTGCCAGAGAAGGGACATTGCTTCTGGTCCACCTGTGTTTCCACAGTCCATTTACCAAACCAAGATGCACCTGTGTGGTCAGAGTGAAATAAGCTTCATGGAGACACACATTGGCACTTCCCAGTTTGAGAGATTCCCGTTTAGTCGGAAATTATTTTGTATTTTCTTTCCCCATATTTCCTTTCCCCTTGTTTAAACCCTGGGGTGAAGCTGGAAGGAATGGAGACAAAAAAATCCCCCCAAACCCCTTTAATCCCTGCCATGGAGCCAAGCAGTGTTCATTCACTCCTGAGCTTTCTTTGGAACTTCATTTTGCTTTTGAAAAGCTAACAGCAATCTTTCATTAATCAGCAGGTGCATTTCTCTCTGAAAGCATTTCCATCAGATTGGAGCAGAGATTTGGGTTTAATCCCTCTGCCCTGTGGCACAGACATGACCCTCATTGCTTTTGAGATGAATGGGAACCCAGTGGGATATAGAGAAAAAAGGAAACCTGATGATTAGTTCATGTATAAAATATCTTTTCTCCAGCAACAACATCCTGGAGAAAAACATAACTTTTTTCCTAGCAAAAAACCCCAAACAAACCACAGCTAAAACAAAATGCTCAGATCTTTCATCTTCTGGCCTTTCCCCCTTTTCATTCCACAACTGCAGTAATGCTGCTGCTCCTGCATACATAACTCTGATTTAAAAAACTTGTTTGATTTTAATGCCCCAAAAATTCTGCAACAGAATTTCTTTTCTAAATCCTAAACATGGTCATATTCTCATTTCTTGCTATTTGTGAGAGGGTCACAAAGCAACACAGGTCCCAGCTGAACAGAAATATCTACGGTCTAATATTAGCATTGAACCTGGTACATCTAGACCTTGACAATAATTTATTGTTTATATTTTAATTGTTCTATACTTATTAATAATTTTAAATAATTCAATCACTGAAGTATAGAACGGGGGGGCTTACTCTATCCCTGATGTAAAAAGGGAGTAAACAGCTCCAAAATGAAGAAAAATGAATTATTTTGAAGGCAAATCCCAGTTGAATGCTGGTGTAATTCAGGAGTCACTGCAGTGAGCTGACTGGTGCAAGCAGGATCAGAATTTGGCTTTATTTCTATGAAGAGTTTTGGAGACCAAATTCATGATCCTCAAACACATCTGTGCCTTTTAACAGAGGCAGAAGAAGCTTTCACAGGATTCCCAGAATGACCAGGTTGGAAGAGACCTTCAAGACCATGGAGTCCAACCCAGCCCCAACAGCTCAACTGAACCCTGGCCCCCAGTGCCACATCCAGGCTTTGTTAAACACACCCAGGGATGGGGACTGCACCACCTCCCCGGGCAGCCATTCCACAACTTTATCACCCTTTCTGGGAAAAACTTTTTCCTGCTATCCAACCTGTACTCCCTTGGTGCAGCTGGAGGCTGTGTGCTCTGGTTGTGTCAGTGCTGCTGGAGAAAGAGCCCAGCCCCAGCTGAGCACAGGCACCTTTCAGGAGCTGTGCAGAGTGAGGAGGGCACCCCTGAGTCTCCTTTTCTCCTTTAATACCTTTTAGGAGGCACACCTCTGATCTTTGATGCAGCAAATGGATGCAGTTGCCCTGCTGGGGTCATTTCTGGGGTCAGGGGGTCAGGCTGGAGCTGGGGGAGCAGCAAAAGTGCAGAGCTCTGTTCTGTGCTCTGTGTGGGGCCAGGACACAGGGCCAGGTCACGGGGCCAGGACAGCTTGCTCCACATTGTCATCTGCAGTGAAGTCCTTGAATTCCATTTTATTGATGAGCTGGATGAAAAACAGAGTAGACCAGGCCAAGTTATGGAGCCAAATTCCTGCACTAAGCCAGTCAAACAGGGCCCAATCCCAATGTCATCATACACTTGATTGCTCCTCACGTCCCCAGAGTGAGAAGATTTCACTCTTTATAAAGTGATTCCACCCCCAGCTCCTCTGTTTTCCTGGAACACGGGGCCAAGGCAGCTGGGCTGGCAGCTCTGCATCGCTGACATTGCAGAGCCTGTCACAGCAGGTCCATTCAGCACGTTCATTTCATCCCTCAAACATCCTTGACAGCAGAGAGGAGGCATGGCTGGATGTTCAGTAATGAAATAATTGTCAGTAGGGTGCCTGGGGGCACAGCTCTGGCATGCTGATGTACTCCACACGTTTTGAAGGAGCCCCCTCAGCTGAGGGAACATCCCATCTTCAGGTTCCTGTGCAGAACAGCCTGGTGGGGAGTGTGACAGGCTGCAGAGGAGCCTGTGGTGAGGGTAAATCACCAGCTGGGGTTTTTCCCTGTCACATCTCCAAAAGGCAAACCTTTCCTGGCTGTCTTTGGCACATGGCTGGTGCTGGCAGGGGTTAGCACAGGGCTGGAACACAAGAAAAGCTGCAAACACACGAATTTCCTCCTGAAAATGGAGAGGAAAAGGGAGCACAGGGAGAGGAAAGGGAAGGTGAAGACCAGAGGGAAAACGCTCCATGTGTCTCACAGGATGGCTCACAGGCTTTCCCCCCAGCAAGGCTGCCTGGAACAGATGGGAAGGGATTCCCTCACATCCCACAAAGGAGGCTGCTGGCAGTGGTGCTGCACTTCTGCTCTACAGCTCTGTGCTCCAGTTCCTCTGCTGCTTGGCTGGGACCTGAAATTCCAGTTCACACCTCAGTGGATGCATTCCCAAGATTAGGCAGTGTTCCTCTGCAGCCCATCAGCTTTGTTGGGTATAAATATTATCATGACAGATGAACAGGGGGAATGGCTTTGCAGCCTGATGAATCCAATCTTTCCCAGACTGACATTGCTTCAAAGCTCTGAAACAGTGAGACAAAGCATTTTACATCAAGATGAACAACTTGGAAGCTGAGACAGAATTTTCTTTTGCTTCTTCTGGGCTTCCTTGAAGTTAGTCATTCACCTGGAAAAATGCAGGTCAAATCCTGGCTTTGAACCCGGCACAGCAGAAGAACTGGAGGTACAGGTGGGATTTCTCCAGTATTTCCTGGGTGAGTCCTAATCCAGGTCAGAAAATGCTCAGCAGAGCAACACAAGCACCAAACACAAAGAGAATCACAGAATATCCTGAGTTAGAAGGGACCCACAGGGATCATCGAGTCCAACTCCTGGTCCTGCACAGGACAACCCCAAAAATCACACCAAGGACCTGAGAGCATCATCCAAACTCTTCTTGAACTCTGACCAGGACCACTTCAAAGGTTCTTGCCTCTGAGAACCTTGCGGATTTCAATGGGATATTGTTTGAGGGGTGTCAAGGCATAAGTGCTTCAATGCAAGAAAAGTGGGGAAATTTTGAGCATCCTCTTGTTTTCTCTGCATTTTGGGAATCAGGGAGCTGCATTTTGATGATCTTATGGCACGTCAGAGTTGTATCCTCACTGTTGATGTGGGCTCAGTGTAAAGTAGCCACAACAAAGCTGGCTCACACCTGGCCAGCCTGGGGTCACCAGCACTATAATTCCAGGAATTTTCACACCTTCCTATCGTTTTAGGACCTACAGGCTGGGTAGCCATGGCTACACTGTGACAGGATCTGAGCTGGCTCCCTGCAAAATCAGGACTGCAAGTTTGCCCTTGGTGGATGAGAGTTCCTCATGGCCCTTTAGCGACTCCAGCCCCCAATGCTGTTATCAGTCCCACACCTGGAGAAATACTTTGGGAGCATCCAGCTCAGCTGATAACAGGCTCTGGGAATGGTGATGGCATGGAACTCTGCCCTGTCAGGACTCAGAAAGGAGCTGGATCTGCAAGTCTCCTCCTGAGCTCAGTGTGGTTTTAAGGCCAACACCCCCCAACCCCACTGGGCTGCAGGTGCTTCCCTCCAATGAGCTGCATTTCATTTTGGAGAAATAAAGCAGGCAAGTTGAGATCTCTGAGCTCTAAAAGAGGAGCCCACCTCCCTCTCCAGGTGCCTGTGTTGGTGACCCAGACACTCCTTCACGAGGACACGTTTTAGTAGCATGGCAGCAGCCCAATTTCTGAGGGTACACATGAGCTGGGCAGGGGTTTCCTACCCTCAGCACAAAACTTTTTCAACCCCACTCAATGCAGTTGAGTAGGACACAAACATGAGCATCTGTACCCTGTATTTTGACTTTGGGACTGTGAGGTTGCCTCAAATGAGCAGGACTGGGCTTTAACATTCCTCCTTTGCCTCTTTACCATGAAAACAAGAATTTAAAAAACCCTACTCTCTTGGTTTTAATGGGATCCTTCAAGTAGGAATTGCCCCTGTATGGAAACTAACAGGTCTTCAGAAAAGAGGTAAAATGCACACATACATCTTAAACGTCTAACAATGCCTTCACATAGGATGAAAGCTCCCCACAAAAGCTGAAGAAGAAATCCATTTAATAGCTCCTTCACTCCTTCCTCCCTCCTGGAGTGCCAGTTGTGTGCTGAGACAACCTTGTTCTGATGAAAGCAATTTCACCTGCTGCTGTGACACTAATTTTTTTCATCTGGCTCCTTATGGCAGCTGTGACTCAATTAAGGATTACAGGGCTCTATATTTCCCTTTCCTGACAGTGTGTGCTAAGCAAGTGCAAATGAATTACAGCCCAATTATTTCCCCCTGATCCCTAATGATCCTGGGTGCATCCATGCACCGAGATCTTTGGGACAACTTAAAGAGAATGAAAAGACACAGCCGTGCTCTGCTTTTGGCATCTGGCCTTGGTTTTTATACATGCAAATCGAGTTTCCTGTTCATGGAACACAACCAAGCAAAGCACCATGTCACCAACACAGTGCAGAGAAGGGCGTCCTCACGCTGGTCCTTCTCAGTGATCTGCTCTTCCACAGGGTTCCTGGAAAGCTCCTGCTCCCAAGGATGGTGGGGAAATAGCAGAACACACTGGGGCATCCTCCGAGGGGCTCTCCTGGTGCTGCAGATTCATCTCCACCTGTGTAAAACGTGGGAGCCATGTGCTGGCCTCTCCATTCCTGCTCATGTTCCTCCTGTCCCTTCTCCCCATGTCCCCAGCACCACCTTTGGTGCTGTATCATCACCTCATATTCACAGGAATTTTGGCACATTCATATGTTTGGTGGGTTTTTTTCCCTGCTTCCTGCCTCTGTCTCTCCTTTACTGGCTCATTTTTTTTAGAAAAAAAAAAAAGTGCAATTTGTCTGTTTTAGAGATGCCAGTTCTGGTAAAGCCACTGAGGACTGAGGCTCTCCCTCCCTTACCCCAGTACTTCATTATTTATGACACACCAGCATCTCCCAGGCTGTCCTCAAGCAGCTTGGACAATTCCTCAGAGCTATCAATCCCTGAGGGCTTGAAATTGAAGAGTGAAAGGCCTGAAAAGAGGGAGAGCAAAAGTGTTTCTCTGCCTCTTGGCTTGTCCAATCTCATCCTGGATGCCAGCGGCTTTTCCAGTTGCGCGTCCTCTGTTGGCTCAAGTGGAGCAGGTCATTTCACAGGGGTTTGCCATGGGATCACTGATTCCTGGGGATCCTCGTGTCCCAGTTTTGGATGCTCAGTGCCTGGGGAGCCTCTCACACCAGGGAGAAGTCGGCCTGGAAGCCGGAGCAGCGGCGCGTCTTTGGCGAGCACTTGGTCAGCATGGAGATCTGGGTGCTGAAGTTGGTGCCGTTGCTGCCCAGGGAAGGGTGGTGGTACTTCATGTCCGAGCCCAGGAACCGCTCCAGGTGCCACCTCCGCCACTTCCTCTTGAGCTCAGCTTGCACCTGGGCATGGGAAAGAGAAAAGGCAGCACAGGGCATCACTTGATGTTGTTCACAGAATTCCCAGAATGACCAGGTTGGAAGAGACCTTCAAGACCCTGAGGGGCCAGAGCTGGGCACAGCACTCCAGGTGTGACCCCAGCAGAGCAGGGACAGGGGCAGAGTGACCTCCCTGCTCCTGCTGCCACCCCATTCCTGACCCAGGCCAGGAGCCATTGGCCTCCTTGGCCACCAGGGCACTCTGCTGGCTCATGGTCAGTCTCTGTTGTCCAGCACCCCCAGGTCCCTTTCTGCGTGGGCACTGTCCACCATCCCCAACCTATTATGTGAGCAGCCTTGGATAACCCACCTGCCCCAGGGCCAAGAGTTACTTTATAAAGGCTACTAAACTTGGCTTAGACATAACTTTTACCCACATAAAGGGACACTCCAGTCAGTAAATTACTAGAGCAGAAATCCCTGAGCTTCATCAGAAAGGAAATTCTCATTTACACAATCAAGGTGCTGGATTACTTAGCTTCAATGACAACACTTGGTGAGTATAATTAATATGCTTTCTTTTTCACTGCCCTGTTTTTTGTTCAAATAGAAATGATTTAACTACAGCTTGTTTGTAATGCTGTCAATACAGCTATGCTTTTTTTGACAGAAGCTGCTTGTTGCTGCTCAGATTGTTTACAGAAATAACCTGGTCTATGTCATCCCAATTCAAATCCTGAACAAACCTGGCTACTGTCCTTGTCCCCTCCTGCAGCCCTCTAGTGCGAATTTTTAGGTAACAGCATGAATTAGAAGGAACAGCTGTGTCTGAAGGGCTCTGGGATAAACAAACACAGGAACAGTACAATCCCAGGATGAGAATGCCAGGACTAAAACGTGGGAAAGTCAATATTATTCCTGCAAGGCAGAAACACGTTCACCTGCACTGCTCTGTGCAGTCACAGCAATGCCTGTGCTGGTTTTGGCAGTGGGTGTGATCCTGAGGAGGATTCCTGGAGGCACTAAGCGTGAACAGGGCTTAGATGGGATTTATCCTGCTGTGCTGAACGTGGTGCTTTAGGATCAGGGATTGTGCAAGTTCACACAGGAGTTCTGCTGATGCTGTCTCATGAGGAGAGGATGGGATCAGCAGCAACACTACAGTGCACACACAAGTCCTGATGTGTTTATTAATTGTTATTAATTGTGCTGAAAACTGTCAGGCAAATGGTTGAATTATTTTCCTGGAGAGACAGTTGTGATTGCATGCTTTCCCCCAATTCTGTAACACCAGGATCAGGAATGGGACACTTCTCAATCCACTTTCCACATGCGTTCATTTTGGCTGCAAATATTAACCAAAAAAACCTGATGGTCTGGTCTTACCTCTCCATTGAGGAAGCAGTACAGAACAGCCACCACAAACCCCTGGGGAAAGGAGAAAACAGGATTTTAGCACTACAGACAAGGAAAGAGTGTAGATCCATTCAGCTCCCAGAGGAGAGATCACACAGCCACAGAAGTGTTCAGGTTGGAAAAGACCTCTAAAGTCATCAAGGCCAACCACTCCCCCAGCACAGCCAAGTCCACCACTGACCCAAGTCCCCAAGTGCCACATCTGCACAGTTTTTGAACACTTCCAGATGCCAGATGTGCAGCGATGATGATGCAGACAGGGATGTTAATAATTCACCACTGAATGAAACTTGCTGCTCAAAGCCCCATCTGCCCTGGCCTTGGACAAGTCAGTGATACAAAAACTGAACTGATGTGCTTATTTTTCTCCCTTAAGTAGAAAAAACACAGAGACACCAATGCACAGAGGAACATTTTCTTTTCATTTCCTAAAATGAGGGAAGAGAATCTCTTTCTGAAAGGCAAAATATAAATTTATCTTTCATCCTGGCCAGGCTGGAGTGAGTAGATTTTCCATAAAGGTACAAGAGCAGTATGGGGCATGTCCAGAAAAAAAAAACAAAACATGTCCAGCTTGTTGCCTTTCTCCCTGGTGACCCAAATGGTGGCTTACCTGGAATGACCCAACCACGAGCTCAAAGACCAGCTTCACTTCTGCTTTGAAATTGTCAGGGAAGAAAGCAAACATGATGTAGTGAATGCCAAAGAGAGGGATCAGCAGCAGAGTGGACTTGGCCAGCCTCCTGTTGGAAAGACAAACATGAGCCACGAGGGAAGAGGGAAGAGGGTAAGAGGCTGAGGAATCTGCAGCTGAGGATAAAATAAACCCTGAAATAAACCCTGAAAAATTTGCTATTTCTCCTTGTCCCACAGACTGCAGATGGCTGGTGATTTCAAACCTGGTGGCACCATAAAATGTGACATTTTTATTCCCAGTAGCTCCACTGGAGGTATTTCTTTCTCCCTCCTCTCTTCTTCCCCTCCCACCAGAGATCTTTTTTTCATCCCCACAAGCTAAATCATCATCTAGCAATGTCTTTGTTTGCCTGGGATTTCTGAAAATTACAGCTTCTGGGAGAGAAATGGTATGTTTAGCTTGGAATAATGACAGGCTACTGCACAATGAATGTCTCCAAAGAAGGGGGATGAACAGTATTAGTGCTTAATGGCATCATGCTGGGTAATCAGGGGTCTAATTAGGAAGAGATGATAATGTATTAAATGCAATCATTATTTAAAAAGTAGCTGGCAGAAAGAAAATGAAATCAAGGGTCTAAGGATGCTTGTGGGGGTTTTGTCTCCCTTGGTCACTCATATCCTGTGACATCTCCCCCTCTCTCAGAGGCTTCTGGAGGAAATAAAGCTGAGGCTGGGATGTTGGAAATGCTCATTTTTCCACTTGGAACCCCTCCACCTCCAAAGCCTCCTCAGGCTCAGACCTCTCAGACCCTCTTCATTCATTTGCCACCTGCAGGAGCCCACTGGGAGGCTGATGTGGCAGCTTTGTGCAGAGGATGCTCATCCCTGTGCCTCCCAGAGCTCCTCTCTAGCTCTCCCTGGGCCTGGCCCAGAGACAGCTCAACATTAAGGCTGTGATTGGAGGCTGTGGCTCATTCCAGGAAACATGACAGCCTGCAGGAAGATGAGGAACTTTACAGGAGTTTGCCTTTCCCACACCCTTCACTAGCAGGTACATCCCTGCTCATAGGGATCAAGAATCTCAGTTCTCTGAGGAACATCAGCCTAGAGGAGGAAATGTGGTGCTACCTTTGAGTCCCACATTGACAGAGATGCTGTTTGCAACCTCCAGTGGATTAGAAAATTTTATCTTATCCTTGCAGACAATACTGGGGCCTTAATTGCAATATTTTCCCTCCTGGCTGGACTGTGGTGATGAAAAGGACATTAATGACAAAACTTGAGCCCCCTCCTCCAATTTGCACACCTCACACCAATCTCTTGTTCCTAACACTAAGAAAGAGTGTAGATCCATTCAGCTCCCAGAGGAGAGATCACACAGCCACAGAAGTGTTCAGGTTGGAAAAGACCTCTAAAGTCATCAAGGCCAACCACTCCCCCAGCACAGCCAAGTCCACCACTGACCCAAGTCCCCAAGTGCCACATCTGCACAGTTTTTGAACACTTCCAGATGCCAGATGTGCAGCGATGATGATGCAGACAGGGATGTTAATAATTCACCACTGAATGAAACTTGCTGCTCAAAGCCCCATCTGCCCTGGCCTTGGACAAGTCAGTGATACAAAAACTGAACTGATGTGCTTATTTTTCTCCCTTAAGTAGAAAAAACACAGAGACACCAATGCACAGAGGAACATTTTCTTTTCATTTCCTAAAATGAGGGAAGAGAATCTCTTTCTGAAAGGCAAAATATAAATTTATCTTTCATCCTGGCCAGGCTGGAGTGAGTAGATTTTCCATAAAGGTACAAGAGCAGTATGGGGCATGTCCAGAAAAAAAAAACAAAACATGTCCAGCTTGTTGCCTTTCTCCCTGGTGACCCAAATGGTGGCTTACCTGGAATGACCCAACCACGAGCTCAAAGACCAGCTTCACTTCTGCTTTGAAATTGTCAGGGAAGAAAGCAAACATGATGTAGTGAATGCCAAAGAGAGGGATCAGCAGCAGAGTGGACTTGGCCAGCCTCCTGTTGGAAAGACAAACATGAGCCACGAGGGAAGAGGGAAGAGGGTAAGAGGCTGAGGAATCTGCAGCTGAGGATAAAATAAACCCTGAAATAAACCCTGAAAAATTTGCTATTTCTCCTTGTCCCACAGACTGCAGATGGCTGGTGATTTCAAACCTGGTGGCACCATAAAATGTGACATTTTTATTCCCAGTAGCTCCACTGGAGGTATTTCTTTCTCCCTCCTCTCTTCTTCCCCTCCCACCAGAGATCTTTTTTTCATCCCCACAAGCTAAATCATCATCTAGCAATGTCTTTGTTTGCCTGGGATTTCTGAAAATTACAGCTTCTGGGAGAGAAATGGTATGTTTAGCTTGGAATAATGACAGGCTACTGCACAATGAATGTCTCCAAAGGAGGGGGATGAACAGTATTAGTGCTTAATGGCATCATGCTGGGTAATCAGGGGTCTAATTAGGAAGAGATGATAATGTATTAAATGCAATCATTATTTAAAAAGTAGCTGGCAGAAAGAAAATGAAATCAAGGGTCTAAGGATGCTTGTGGGGGTTTTGTCTCCCTTGGTCACTCATATCCTGTGACATCTCCCCCTCTCTCAGAGGCTTCTGGAGGAAATAAAGCTGAGGCTGGGATGTTGGAAATGCTCATTTTTCCACTTGGAACCCCTCCACCTCCAAAGCCTCCTCAGGCTCAGACCTCTCAGACCCTCTTCATTCATTTGCCACCTGCAGGAGCCCACTGGGAGGCTGATGTGGCAGCTTTGTGCAGAGGATGCTCATCCCTGTGCCTCCCAGAGCTCCTCTCTAGCTCTCCCTGGGCCTGGCCCAGAGACAGCTCAACATTAAGGCTGTGATTGGAGGCTGTGGCTCATTCCAGGAAACATGACAGCCTGCAGGAAGATGAGGAACTTTACAGGAGTTTGCCTTTCCCACACCCTTCACTAGCAGGTACATCCCTGCTCATAGGGATCAAGAATCTCAGTTCTCTGAGGAACATCAGCCTAGAGGAGGAGATGTGGTGCTTTGTGTCCCACATTGACAGAGATGCTGTTTGCAACCTCCAGTGGATTAGAAAATTTTATCTTATCCTTGCAGACAATACTGGGGCCTTAATTGCAATATTTTCCCTCCTGGCTGGACTGTGGTGATGAAAAGGACATTAATGACAAAACTTGAGCCCCCTCCTCCAATTTGCACACCTCACACCAATCTCTTGTTCCTAACACTAAGCTTCACCAGATACTGAGTTTTAGATTTTATTTTGGCATCAAGGCAAGGGCTCTGTGATTTTTAGAAGACTCCACCCCCTAAACACTGCACTCAGGAAAGTCATCACCCAGTCCCAGTGTGATTTCTCCCAGGAATCTCAAGCCTGGCTGTGCAGGAGGCAGAACTGCTTGGGGGTTTGTCTAAAGCTGGTTAAATCTGCTGGAAACCATGGATTCTCAAAACCCTCATTACTCTGATTCCCAGCACATCCCAGACCTCCCCTCTCTGACAGATACATGTGGTGACAGGTAATTTTGGGAGAACACGTGTCCATTAACCTGCATGGAACCTGCTCCTGTCCTTGGGAGTGGGCAAGAGTGAACCAACATTTCAGTCACGCTCCTTGAAATCATAATGGAAAAGTTACTCAGAGGACTTTGATGACAATAATGATCCACAGACATGGACAGAATGGAGAGATGAATTTTGCTCAAGTTTTCTGCTGCAGAAGACAAATTCTATTTGCCTGAAATATTGCTGTCCCATTCTTGCACATGTCCCTGTCATTTCCAGAAAACTGTTTTGGGAGACTTGTGCTCAGAGCTTCCAGTACATGAAAGCCCATTCTCTGTCTGCAGCATTAATGAGGGAGTCAGCAGCACACCTGAACTTCCAGCCTGCAGCTAAGCTCAGACCTTCTAGAGCTGAACAATGCTGTCAGCATGTCAGCAGGCTGTGTTTGTAGAAAATAAACAGTATAAAATACACACAAGAAGGAGGGAGAAATGCAAATGAGATATCCAGTGTGCTCAGAGCTTCCAGTACATGAAAGCCCATTCTCTGTCTGCAGCATTAATGAGGGAGTCAGCAGCACACCTGAACTTCCAGCCTGCAGCTAAGCTCAGACCTTCTAGAGCTGAACAATGCTGTCAGCATGTCAGCAGGCTGTGTTTGTAGAAAATAAACAGTATAAAATACACACGAGAAGGAGGGAGAAATGCAAATGAGATGCTGTTTGTTTAAAACAGATTTGTCTCAGATTTGGCAGGAGGAATGCACACGGAATCACAGAGGTGTTTGGTTGGGAAAGACCTCCCAGACCATCGAGCCCAAGCTGTGCCTGATCCCCACCTTGTCCCAGCCCAGAGCACTGAGTGGCATCTCCAGGGCTTCCTCAGACACCTCCAGGGATGGGGAGTCCACAACCTCCCTGGGCATCCCCTTCCAATGCTTCACAACCCTTTTGGTGAAGAAATTTCTCCTGATGTCCAACCTGAACCTCTCCAGATACAACTTGAGGCCATTTCCTCTCATCCTGTCACTCGTTGCCTGGGAGAAGAGCCTGATCCCCATCTGGCTCCAACTTCCTTTCAGGGAATTGTGGAGAGCCATAGGGTCACCCTGAGCCTCCTCTTCTCCAGGATAAACACCCCCAGTTCCCTCAACATTTCAGCAGCAGTTTTCTGCTAAGAACTGTTGGGTCCTGCAGTCAAACCCCAGAAGTCTCCACAGATTTCTGTCTGAAAGTAAAAATCTTAGGACCACGCTGAGAACTCACCTTGGTGGGATCTAAACTTCAGTTTCAGACAATTAATATTTGTTTGCATAGGAAAGTGTGGTGTCTTGTATCTACTGCAATGAATACAGTCAACAGAGTTTTCCAGAAGTGGCTGGTGGCCAGGTGCCACTGTACAAGGGGACAAGTGTCCCATAGGTCCTATGTCCTGTCTGACAGGTCCGTGGAAGTATTGGAAGTGTCCTGAACCACGTCATGTGCCTTGGAAACCTAAAATTTTAGGGCCAGGTTGGAAGGAGCTCTGAGCAACCTGGGATAGAGGACGGTGTCCCTGCCATGGCAGGGGGTTGGAACTGGATGAGCTTTAAGCTTTTAATCCTCCCAACCCAAAATGTTGTGGGATTCTGTGATTCTGTGAAGTGAGCAACTGATTCATTCCCTGTCACCATGATATTTTTATGAAAATTCTTTTGCCAGGGAATATAATATAATATATAATGTCACAATATAATAAATCAGCCTTCTGAAACATGGAGTCAAGATTCTCATCTCTTCCCTCATCCTGGGACCCTCGAACACAACCATAATTCCCTAGTGGAACTGAGCCATCTCTCCAGGTGGTGAAGGAAGGTGAGGATTGTGGTGTCAGGATCAGTTGTCCTTCAGCAGAACCCCCTGTTGAGCAGGTCAGTGAGGGGAACTCCGTGTTTTACCAACATGCCCTACGTTTGTTTACAAGGCAAAAAGAGCTTTCCTGGCAGCTCCACCTCACTGGAAAATGTGTTCTGAACCCAAAGCCCAGCATGACCTCTGAGATAATCTGGGCATAACTCATCAGGTGCATGTTGGCAGCACTTTTGCTGAGGTGAACAGGAGCCAGCAGTGCCAGGACGCTGCTCAGTACTAGAAATTATTTAAATATGCTGATTTAATCTCTGCACCTGCTGCAAACCTGGGGTGCAAAGATAAAATTCCCAGTTGGAAACCCAGAAGGGCAGGTGGTAGAAAGCACAGGGTCTGGTAATGTAGGTGTGTTGTGATGACAGAAAAATAGGTAATTGGCTTTGGCTGCTGCCAGGAGAATTAAGGTCAAACACTGGCATTTCCTTCCATAAATTTGAGAATCTCTCGAGGCAGATGAAATGAATAATTCACCACCACCAGAGAGAAAGTCTCAGTGCCGTGGCTGGGCAGGATTTAAGGAACATATTGTTACTTTTTTCCATCCTGCAGGAAGATGAACTGAGATTTTCCAGGGTACCCAAAAGCACAGCTCCCTCCAAAGACAAAGATTTACAAGCAGTGACTATGCAGACACTGGACTCTTCATTTAATTCTTTTCTAGGAAACATTTAATAAATACCCAGGATAGCTGAAAAGCGGAGCCAGAACAGTGGGAAGAGTCAAAAATAACCTGGTCTGGACTTTTATTTTATTTGCATTGAAGCCAGAATAAATCCATGCAGATTTCTTTCACTCTTAAAATACTGCAGCTGTGACCAGCTTTGGCCGCTGAGAGAAAGATGTTGATCTCTCTGGCATGTTGTTCATTATATAAAGTCCCATTAAGGTCAACCTTATATCCCTGGAATAAAAGTATTAAGTCAAGTAAAACTTCTAAGACAGTGATCCTTCTCAAAAGAGAAGAGAAATGTATTGAGCTAATCCAATCTTGTTTAGAGATCTCTTTTAGGATAAGGAAAATTTGTCATAGATCCTACTGAATGGAAATTTTCTAGATGTCTCCTTTAAAACTGAGGAAAAAAAGCCTGTACACTGTGGAGAGCAACTTTTTGTTTTCCATCAGGGTCCTTCTGCCTTCAAAATCCAATAAATATTTAATATTCAAAGAAAAATTATATTTGGCTTCATTATCATTATTATTGCTCTCATTTCTTCATCATTAATCCCAGAAGAAATCCCTCTCACCTGTCACAAACTGACATAAAACCTGCCCAGCTCTTTTAGCAAATGCTCCATTTCCTGATTTCTAATCTGCTTTAAGCAATTAAAATTAATTGATTTTGATCATTAATCAAGACACAATAATGAACTATCAAGCAGCCAGGCAGGTTTCCCAAAAATCACTTTTAGGATAGGCTTGGCAAAGTGTGGGACTTACGAATATTGGCTGGTTTCATTGTGCCCAACATCTGGGGAATGCAGCTTCTGGACTAAGATACGGATGATGCAGATGAAGAGGATGAAGTTCACCTGTGGAGATGGGAAGAGAGGGGTAAAACATCAGCATTTTCCTTCAAGGAAAAAAGCCCATCACTAGAGGGGAATTCCTCTCACTGGAATGGGTTTTGCCATGGAAGGAGCTGCCGTTTAACAAGCCATGAGCAGAGAGCCCCTCTCGGGGGCGGGGGAGCACATGGAAAACCGACACAGGATGGCATCTTGGGCCTGACATCAGCCTGCTTGGGACTTCGTGTCATACATCCCAAGTATGATGATGTCAAGCCCATAGAGCACAGCTCCGCACGACGTTCCTGCTGCGCGCGCGGGGAGGAGCCGCGGCACCGGCGGCTCGCGAGGCGGTGACATGGGGCCAGCTGCTGAGCGTGGTGAGCCAGGGAAACCAAACCAAAACACGAAGCAGGATCCACTCCAGAGGGCCTCTGCCCAATCCTATTTGATGCCGTAGGATTTAGCTTTTTAGGTTTTTCAGATCCTGTACTGCTTTAGGGGATAGCTCTAAAACTCCACAGCCTGTCAGCTGCTGTTCTCCTGTTTTGTTCAGACAAAACAATTTCTCTCTGGGCCTGAAAGTCAGGGACACCTGACTGTCTCAGGCCCTGAAAAGTATAAACAAAAGTGAGCAAACTGGGGGTATATGACTTCATTACCTGCAGCTGTAATTTGAAGGATTTAATGCCTCAGGCTTTAGCTTTATAATTATTTTTTTCAGATTCTCTGCTACTTTAATGTCTGGGTCTGAGCTTCATATTAGGGGATGGTGAGCTCTCTTCACAGAGTAGGCAGACACAACAAATCCTTCTCTAGCTGGGGACCCAAGGACAACCAATCCAGATCTCAGGCCCAAGAGCATAAAAAACGATGGACTGAAGAGAGAAAAACAAGCAGGATGGGACTTCATGGGCTGGAGCTGTGGTTGGACAATTAACTCCAACATGCAAATGGACCAGAACTTGTAAAAATGTGTGATCTCATGACCAAGCCCTATTTTGCTTCCATCTTGGAGCCATCCGGGCAGAGCCATGACTGTGGGTCTGGTACTGCCAGGGTGTGGCCTTTGAAGGCTCTTCAGTAAATATCCTCTTTATTCCCCTTAACTCTGTCTAGCCTCTTTTCCAGCTGCTTCAGGCACCAGTATAACCCCCGGTATGTAAATAGACCAAACTTATAACTGTGTGAAAAACTCATGAGCATTGTCCATCCTGGGTGTAGCCCCTCTCTGAGATTTCTGATTGCCCAAGGTGAAGCTTTGAAGGCCTTCAATAAATACCCACTTTTATTCTCTTAATCTTGTCTAGCCTCTGTTTCAGGTAGCCACTCCAAGGCATCATATTGGCCATGTTCTGTCTTGTGCAGCAAGGGATAGACCTCACCAAGGTAGTGGGGAATATTCCATCTTGGGATGTTAGACCAGAGCAGTCTGGCTGATATCCAGATTTTAGGTGGTTCTTTTCACCCCAAAATCTCACAGTGCCCTACCAATGTACTCAAGCGATGTGAACCTTATTTAATAGCAAAGGTGTAGAGCTAGGAGTGGGCATGTCCTGATGGCATTAATTGAATTCAGATCTGCTGCTTTCAAGGTCCTCTCTGTTGAGTCATCCTGTTACTCATGCAACACAGACAACAGAAAAGCAGTGACAAATTTCTGGGGACTTAGTTCACTTTTAGTTTGGCACACAACCCCTTTTTTTATCCTTTCATGGTCAGTGAATGTGCAAACAATTCTAGTTTTTAGAAGCTCAGCAGCTGGAAGGGATTGTGCTAAACCAGCCAATCTGATTCCTTGCAAAAATAGATTATAATATTTCTTCCAGCAATTCCTACACTTATCACAACAATAGATGAATAAAACAGACTGAAGCCCATCTCTCAAATAGACACTCTTTTTACAAAGCCTAGTGATTGGATACCCATTGCATTTCTTGGTTATGATGCATTGCTTAATCACTTCTTACCTATCCTGAGCAATTTATCATAATTTCTGTTTGTATTTATTTCCTTAAAAAATGGTTTGTGTGTCTGATTTGGTAGGAAGTGAAATTTATTAGAACCAGCCAGTATTATCTAGATCAACTACACTAATGATCATTGATAACACACAAACTGCTGCAAGGAAGGCAAGAATGGAGCAATTAAATTCTAACTGTGTTGGCTTGGAGAGGTCAAGAGCACACACTGACTGGAGTGGGTATATGGGCTTGGTATAACTTTGGAATTCCATGGCAGAAGATACAGGAATCAGGATACTGGAGACGTTTTTTAGATTATTTTTTATCCCTAGAATGTAATCAAAGAGAATCAATGTGTTCCCAGTGCTTAACACCTTGTACACAAGATATATCTCATGTTCTTTAAAGATCTTATAGATCTTGTATCTGTATTTCTTCGTTACACTGAGATATCAGCTGTATTCCTGTGGATTTGGAGGAAATGCTGCATTACCCCCTGGAGAAACCTACTGTTCATCAGCCAGTGGCTATCATGCCCTTCCTTTAGGACAGATTTATAGGATATCTGCTGAGGGAAAATCAGGAACTGCTGGGTAAATTCTGTTTGGCAATGAAGAAAAGATTTATTGGCCAAAAGAAAAGGCAGACCCATTGATCCAAGAGGAATAAAAGGGTGTGTTTTTTGACTGAAAGCTTATCTCAGGAAAAGCAAAATACTATCTATAGCTTTCCAGGATGATATAAATATTTGGAGATGTGTCATCTAAGTACTATATTTCTTTCCAATGAGGTAAACAGAGCGAGATGTCATTATTGAAACTTTCAGTCTGGAATCCCTGCATGATAAATGCCACAGGAAAAAAAAATAGTCTTCTTGTAAAAATCATAATGTACGTGGAATAAGAAGGATGTCTAAGGAAAGATTTCTGTTCAAAAGAGATTGATTTGATTTCTGTTGCTTTTTTTTGGTTTTTTTTGGGTTTTTTTTTTTTTTTTTGCTTCCCTTGCCACATCGTTGACATAATTTAAGAAAACTCAAAACTAAGTTTAACTCCAGTTCATTTGATTTTAAGGTTTGGATCCATGCCCAACAGAGAAATATTCAACAAGGATGGAAGGACCCAGAGTTCCTGAGAAGTGTCCTGGTTTCTGTGGTCAGGATTGATCATATCCAGAGAATTAAAATAAAACCCTTCTGTTGATTTTTCTGGAAATTAGCCAAACTCCTCTAGAACTTACTCCAAAAATACACAGCTGGAATGCAACTCTGTAGTGGATGCAAGAGGCAAATTCCTGAGGGAATTCATCTACTCCCTTTTTATCTGAGTGGAAATTCACGGTAGGACTCATGTTAATTTGTAGTGTTGACATCTGAACAAGTGTTGACATGCCTGGTCAGCTCAGAGAAACAAAACCACTCCTAGCACGGGTGACCTGATGGAATTCACTGATTCCTGAGGCAAAATGAGCCTTTCCTGGATGTCCAACCAGATTCCTCCATCTCCCATGGCCACCCCACCAAGGAGATGGAGGTGGTCACAGCTACATCAGGTCAGCTCCACCCTGGTGGCCTCAAACTCTCCAAACTCAAACTCTTCCTGTGGTCAATGCTGCAGGTGAGGGTGTTTATCTGCAGGAGGAACTTCCTCATCTTAAAGCAGATGTTCAATGTACAGTGGGATTTTACCTGGCAGTGCATTTCCCATGGACATTTACAGGACACTTCTCAACAGCCCTTCACCCCTCCCCAGTTAGGACTAAAGATGGCTTTGCAGCCAGCAGAACGTGCTGATACTTTACCAAAATAGACACCAAAATAGGAGTTTTAATGATCCACCAGAATGGGGATTCCACTATTTCCTCCCAGCACCTAAAAAGAAACAAAGCCAGACTTAAAACATCAAGCACAGCAAGAAAGCAGGTCTGTAACCTTCTCAGCTTTCCCTAAAAGCTAAGTTTTGCTAGGCTGAGTTATGTGAAGAGGACTAAACACCTTTGCAGCCAGCAGAACGTGCTGATACTTTACCAAAATAGACACCAAAATAGGAGTTTTAATGATCCACCAGAATGGGGATTCCACTATTTCCTCCCAGCACCTAAAAAGAAACAAAGCCAGACTTAAAACATCAAGCACAGCAAGAAAGCAGGTCTGTAACCTTCTCAGCTTTCCCTAAAAGCTAAGTTTTGCTAGGCTGGGTTATGTGAAGAGGACTAAACCTCATGTGTATGGACTGGGAATGGCCAAAACTTGCTTTCCAGTGGCTGTGAGCACTAGTAGGTACCAAGTATCCCAGAGGTAATGCCATTTTTTCCCCCTTGGCCACAAAATGGGCTGGAGGATATTAGGCAGGGTGAATGTGGGGGAGAATGGTGATTTTTCTTAATTTCTTCTACACTGAGCTCTGCTGCAGGGAAATTTTATGGCAACCATGAAAATCTATCAAAATCTATGAAAAAATTCACCAGGGCTCCAGTGCTCTCCACCATCCTGGATGGAGGGGGTTTGATAAGCACAGAGCAATTGGCACCAGCAAAAAAAACCCCAAAAACAAACAAACAAACACACAACCCCTCCCCCCAAAAAAAAACCAAACCAAAACAAAAAAAAACACCAAAAAACCAAAAAAACAAACAAACAAACAAACAAAAAAACCCCCCACCAAAACAACAAAAAAAAGACCCTAAACCAAAACCACCACATCCTTCTGAAAAAAAATTCCAGCCAGTGGTGGGGTTAGTCCCATAAATCCAGCAAGCTGCACCTGAGCTATGGATGGTGCTAAAAAAGTCCCCAGGGTCCAGGGCTGTAGCCATGATATTATGAAAAATCCTTTGCTGCCTATGAAAAAATTCACCAGGGCTCCAGTGCTCTCCACCATCCTGGATGGAGGGGGTTTGATAAGCACAGAGCAATTGGCACCAGTTTTTCATAATATCATGGCTACACAGGGTGGGATTTATTTCATCCTGAAGCCAGAGCTGTCTGCACACACCACCCCTCACCTGGGACTGCATTTTAAAGCCAATGAGGAAAAGAGAGGAAAAGACTGATGTGGAAGTGACTGATATTGCTTGGGACACCTTCATCTGCACAGTCAGGTGACAGAAGGTGCATTTTTAGGAAAGAATCAATGGAAATGGGGCTGCTTTCATGTAAGAATAGATTAATTGTGCCCACTGCAGACAATTTCACCCAGATTCAGCTCCTCTAATTCCAAATGTTGGCAGGGAAGGCAGTAGGAGATGAAGAGAGGCACTTTTAGGGCAAAGTTCCTGAGATCTGTTTTAAGCATCAACTTTAGGATGATAAAAATTGCACTCTGTGGACTACACTGACTAAATCTGCCCTAACTCTACAGGGAGATAAAGCAAATTTCTCACATACAGACACTTGCAGTTAGGTGTGTGCTGCCCTTTCATATAGAATTAAAGTGGCCCTAATTACGTCTAGTGCACTTCATTTTTGGAATAAATTGAGACAGTGTGAATGAAGGTCACTTTCACTTGGACTTACAATGTTTAAATAAAGTCTTAGTGTTGTTTAACCAATCTTACCTAATTAGGGTTTATTTAATCTGGATTAATTTCCTGTAATTTTTCTCTGCGGGTAATGAAAAAAAAAATCTGTGTTAGGTGTTAATATATCCTGTAAATTCATTCTCTGTTTTACTCAGCACAAAAATGTAGGGTTTTAAAGGCCCCAGAAAATGCAAAGATTTCTGTATTTTTATTAAGAATTTTTGGAGCTGAATGGTAATGTATAGTAAGAAAAACTGGTATCCAGAATGGTTAAATCCTCCTGTCTCTGTCTCATTGTAGAGGCTATTTATTAAGAGAGTAAATAAGGTCAGTTTTATGCAGATAGAGTGAAACCATAAAGGAAGTGAGTAGCCCTCAGGAAATGTGCTGGCGTGACTATAAATCAAAAATGCAGTGAGAAATCTGAGCTGCTTCTTGTAGTGAAAAAGGGGCAAATCAGGACACATTTGGAGGGGAAGAATGCATGGGAGAAAATGGATTTAACTCCAGGATGCAAATGCAAGAAGTGAGGGAAGGCACACTGAGGACAGAATAAGCACTTGATTCTGCATCTCTCTGGGGTGTTTTCCCATAAAACCCTTTCCAATTACTGCAGTCTGACCGCTTGAATAAAAGCAAGAATGAGGATTTCAGGATCAAATCCTCTCTACTTGCACATATCCTTGGATAACTCTGCTGTCTGCCTCATTTTCCTAGCTGCATTCTATCTGCTTCTTATACAAAATATCACAGGCTGCTGCTAGGTGAAAAGGGATGAAGAATAGATTCGAAAATCTGCTTGAGAAAAAAGAAGAAAAAAAAAAGAATTTGTAGCCTTTTCCTGTGGGAGAGAATTGGGTGTGTTTATAAATTCCCTGCCGCATGTTTAGGGTCAATTCTGCAGGGTGCAAAACTCTGCTCTGAGCACGGGAACAAATGCAACCATCAAGGTCTGCTCACAGATTCCCTGCAAATATCCTGACCAAGGCACTGGGAAGTAAAGAGGGGCAGTGATTGGTCTAAAATGACATTTCAGGGAGACCCTGGAGCCTTTCCTGGTTCCTGGTGGCAGGGGAGAGGTGCCACTGCTGCTGTTTTTTGGGTTGCTAAGGTTGCAGGGCTTTTCTTGGCCATAAAGGAAAGCAGATTTATCAAGGAAAGACAATTGAGTGCACAGGCTTACCCAACATCGAAAAAGTAAATCCTGACAATTGTCCAGGCAGTGATGAACACGGAGGGGGCACCTGAGGAGAGAAGAGATGGTGTTGCTGTCAGAAATCATGACCAAATGGTTACCTGATTTCATTACCAGATTATTTAAAATCTGCCTCATTTCTCAGGGCTGTTCTCCCTCGCTCTCCACCTCTCCTGAGTGACTGAGGGGATGCCTTCCCTCAGGGGTGGGAAAATCACATTTTCAACCCTCACATGCCAAACAGGCAATGTTGCCTTTTGGCCATGCAAGATCAGCTCTCTGGAACTGCTCCCAGCATGCTGAAATTCCTAAATTGCAGTGCCTAAAAAAACCTTCCAGGGGTGAAATGCAAGGAATAAGAATCACTTCAGCCACCCACAGTGTGGACACCTGTACCTGAGGAGGTCACCACAGGCTCTCCTAAGCACCAAGGGGCAGAATTGTGTGTTTCTCACACACAGGCCATCCAGCTACGTTAAACGTTTGATTTAGAACAATAAATATGAAATATCCCTGGACTCTCGTGCCCTGTAAGGGAGCCTGGAGTGCCAGGTTCACACCCAGCTGGCCAGGTGAAGCTGCCTCTGCTCCTCACTCCATGGTCTGCCACGTTTGGGTGGTCTTGTCCCATCCTTGTGCTGGCTCTTTTCTCTCTCTAATCCTTGGCTGGATTTAGGTTGGAAATACTCTCAGGAGGACACGCCTCTTTGCTCTGTGTTACTCACAGATTGTGTACGCTTTATTACCAGTGATTTCCAAGTGCAATGGTACTAAAACCAGTAAAAACTGTAATTAGAGCATCCAGATTATTAATTCATGCATAATCCATTCCAGATCCATCCCTGATGCTCTTGCAAATGATGGATGACTGAAAGGCCAAAAGTTCCCTCAGGCACTTGCCAAGTTCTGGAATTGCCCTTCTGCACCCAAGCAACCTCAGGACATGTTAGGAGTGCAAGAAATGTCCTTTGATTTAAATAATTACCTTCATGCATTTTTCTTTAAGCTTTCAGCTCTCCAGTGCTGAAATAAAGAATATCTGGAGCGCAAGGTGAGTTTAACAAAGGTCTGACCTGAGGAACTGAAACAAGACCTGCTCCCATCATCCCTCCTTCTGCCCAGAGCACGGAGAATCATCTCTGCTTTGCAGTGTGAAGCCAAGCATAGCTCCTGCCACTTTCCATGGAAGTTACTCCATGGATAATTGAGCAAATCCTGAGTCCTGGCATGCCCCTGGACATGACACAATTTTATTTTACCTTTTCTTCTCAAGATTTTTCCCTGCTCTTATTATTTCTCAGTTTCAGCTATTGAGAGCATGCAGTAGAAAGTTATTCACTTAATTAAATATAAAACTTCAACTAAATGGCATGAAAGGGGAAAAAAAGTCTGTTTCCTTTTTGAAAAATAGAAGTTGGTCTGGTAGGATTAATTTGCATAAGTCAGCAATTCAGTTGTGAGTAACTTTGTGAAGAGCTTAATCCTCTCTTCCTTACCATTTTTCTAATTTTATTTTGTTTTGCATTTTATTTTATTTTATTTTATTTTATTTTATTTTATTTTATTTTATTTTATTTTATTTTATTTTATTTTATTTTATTTTATTTTATTTTATTTTATTTTATTTTATTTTATTTTATTTTATTTTATTTTATTTTATTTTATTTTATTTTATTTTATTTTATTTTTTCATTATATGATTTTAATTTAATTTGATGCATTTGAGACCGGATTTGCATTAAGACTGGAGAAATCACCAATGCAGTGAGCAGAAGGTTATCAGCATTAGCACACAGGTGATGGGATCTCAGGGCAGCTGGCTGGCCTGAATTCAGTGTCTGGTTCAGTCCAGGAGTTCAGCTTTGCTGGGATCCATCCTTACAACTTAAGGTCAATCCGTGATATCAAAATTGGAATTCCTTCCCAATATCCAATCCAAATCTACTCTCTGCCAGTTTGAAGCCATTCCCTGTGTCCTGTCCCTCCATCCCTTGTCCCCAGTCCCTCTCCAGCTCTCCTGGAGCCCCTTAAGGCCCTGCCAGGGCTCTGAGCTCTCCCTGGATCTTTCCCTTCTCCAGGTGAACACCCCCAGCTCTCCCAGCCTGGCTCCAGCCCTGGAGCAGTTCCGTGACCTCCTCTGGAGCTGCTCCAACTGCTCCATGTCCTTCTCATTTTGGGGACTGGATGCATCTCTGCAGTGGATGTCAGATGAAGAGAGCAGAGGGACAGAATCACCTCTCTCAGCCTGCTGGTCGCGTTTCTTTTGGTGCAGCCCAGGACACAGTTGGGTTTTTGGGCGCGTTTTGAACTCATGTCCAGCTTCTCATCCACCAACCACCCCAAATCCTTCTCGGGACTTAGTGGGGGGTGGGTGCTGCCTACAACATCCCTGCCCCACCTGAGTGCCCAGGTATCTGTGCTAAATCCCTGCTACAAAGAGCAGGCAGGATCCCCTCCTGCAGGAGACGCGTACCCCAGCCGATCAGGATGTACCACCAGAAGTACTTCCTCTCCGAGAAGAAGGAGATGACCAGCAGGGTGTGGAGGTACAGCCCCTCCACCAGCAGCCAGAAGAAGTTGGCCATGACACAGTACTGGAAGAAAACCATCATGGCCTTGCAGCCCACCTGGAAGAGAAGAAATGAGCAGTGGTGAACTCCCTGGCTGCTGAGAATTCCAGGCTTTCTGTGCTGCCAGGCACTGACCCCCAAGAGAACACTGCATTGACCTGAGGCCGTGGAGAAGCTTCCAAAATGGAATGACAGAACTGGGATTGTGGGTGTGGAGTTTGAAGAGAAGTGTGTGATATCACAGGGTGGGAAACTCAGAGTTTAAGGTTTAGAATATAGTAATAAAGATAAAGCTAGATGGATGTTTTAAAGCAGAAGTTAGTCCTTCTTCACCTTCTTCATCATAAATTTAAGTAGTATATTGTAACCAGATTAAAAAATCCACATTACAGACCACAAGTAGGTAGTTATTGGGTTAAAAGTAAAAATAACATGTAATTTCTTAATTAGACAGTTTATTCTTAAAAAAAAACGTATAAAGAAAAAGATACATCTCCATTTTTAACTTATTAGAAAGAAGTACTATAAAACTCACACTTTATGAGATTGTAATGTAAATAAGAACTAATAAACATCTGAGTCCAAACAAGAAATACCATCTCACATATTTAATCCCAACCTTAACAAAAACAAAAAACCAAAACAAACAAAACCAAAACAAAACAAAAAATCCACATAGAAAAAGATACATCTCCATTTTTAACTTATTAGAAAGAAGTACTATAAAACTCACACTTTATGAGATTGTAATGTAAATAAGAACTAATAAACATCTGAGTCCAAACAAGAAATACCATCTCACATATTTAATCCCAACCTTAACAAAAACAAAAAAACCTCAAAACAAACAAAAACAAAACAAAACAAAAAATCCACAGAGTGGTGCCCTGCATTAGGAACTGCAGCACATTCCCACAGGAAAGAAATTTCCACTAAATTACCAGTGACCCTTGCTCTGGATGTATCTTTGGGATTGCTTTGTGCAGCACCTGATCTCCTTATGGAATGAATTCTGTGGTGAAAAGTCTACAAGAAGTTGCTCCTCTTTAGGAAAAGAAGGACTGGGATATGTATTTTTACAATAAAGGACAGGCAGGAGAAGCAGGGCAAGCACACAAAAGCATGCACAGGTTTTATTGCTCTGGAAGGGCAGAGATTTCAAAAGGGAAGGTGAATTGTTTACCTTCAGGAAATGAATAATTAAACAGAGTAACTTGCTGCGTTGGAGATTTCACTGCAGCAGAGGTAATGGGAACAGTTCCCTTAGCAAAGAAATAAATACAAATGGAAATTTCTGACACTTGGCACCCACTGCATCATTACACATTCTCGAGGTGTTGGCCCAGCAATTGTCCTGGGTCTGCCTGGGTGACACCCTGCATTTTCTGGGGCAAGTGTTTGCTCTCACTCCCTGGTTGGTGGCACTTCCCTGGTGTCCTGCGCGTGTAGAATGTTCAATTTAGAGCAACAAGACCCCATTTTACTCTCTACTCCTTTCCTACTGAAAGCAATTGCTATGAAACACTGGTTAAAAGGAGAAGTGTGGAAAGAGTTTTTTCCAGTGCCACATGTTTAGGGAGGGACTGTCCCCACCCTCACCCCTAAACACATCAGTGTGCAACCCTGGGGACCCTGCTGGGCTCCTGCAAACCAACTTTTGTGCAAATCAGCTCCCTCCTGTGAGGCACAGACACAGACTGAGGGGTGCTGATGGGGGAAGGTGAAGGCAGAGCAGGATGTGAACTCCCTTCCAACTCAGAATTTTCCCTGCGTGACTTCAGGGACTGCCAGGGAGGGAAGGTGGCACAGGGCTGGGCTGGCAAAGCTGGGGATGCAGCAGCCTCATCCCAATGGCATCACTGTGGCATTCACATTCTCTGAAAAATCCTTTCGCCCAGGATTTTTCTCCTGGGAAGCTGAGAAGCCTCAGAGAAAAAGGAAAACAATTCTTATCTCATTTGATTCTCCTGTGTTTTGCTGCTTTGGAATGTGTTTGGAGATTGTTTACCCACAGGTGATTGTTTCATTGCATTCTGGTGTGAATTGTTTTCACTCTTTGGCCAATCAGTGCCAAACTGTGTCAGGACTCTGGAAAGAGTCACGAGTTTTCATTATTATCTCTTTAGCATTCTGTAATTATCCTTTCTGTATTCTTTAGTATAGTTTAGTTTAGTATTCTTTAATATAATATAGATCATAAAATAAAAAAAATTAGCTTTCTGAGAACATGGAGAGAGATTCATCATTCCTGTCTTTGTCAGGGATCCTGGCAAATACAATACATCACCACACCTTTGGTTTCTCCCTGATTTTGTGTACTTGTGGCTGTGTGACATTGCCACCCCTCCTTCCTTTCCCCCAAAGCCTGAGTGCCTGCTTGGTGTGTCTGCAGCCAGCAGGGATGTGTGTGTGAGTGAATTCCTCCATGGTTTCACTCTGTGGGTGTTTGGCCCTAATTCAGCAGTTCCCAGGTGAGACATGAGGTTTGAAGGGGCAGATCTGATGCATCTCAACCACCTGCCTGTAAAACAAGGATTTCCCTTGGGGATTGTGCACCAGAGAATCACTTTTGGATGGTTGCACTGACTTATGGCAGAGTCAGGAGCACAGCACAAGGAGCTGCAAAGCTTCACAGGACAAGGGAAGGCTGCTCACAAACAGTGCACGTGGTTTCTGCCCAGCAGAAAAGGAAAGGAAATCCCTCAGGAAGGGATTTCCAGCCTGACTTTGCAGAGCTATTGCTGTGCAGAGAGAAAGCTTTGCTGAACTCGGTCTGTGGCAGCAGAAATTGCAGATCCAAACCCATCCCCTCTTCTCCCAGCACTGGCAAACATCAATTTTGTGGCAGTCTCTGGCCCTAATTCCTCCCTTAAAGGGGTGGTGGCTTGTCACAAAGCTGAGGTGGATCATGGTCAGCAGTTGGATCTGATCATCCCCGAGGTCTTTCCAACCTTAATGATTCTATGGTTCTATTTATTTATTTAATTTGTTTCTTTTATGGTTTTATTTCTCCATGCACATGGGCAGCAGCTGGGTTTTGGCAACTTCTCTTCCTGGGTAGCAGATCACTTCTTTGCTCCTGGCTGTGGGATATTTGCTTATTTGTGCATTTCCTACCACTCTTAGAATTTTTGGTTTTACCTGGAGAAAAGACCTTTTTGTGCAGCATTTTGAGTGCATGACAGTAATGTCTTGCAGCCAGGGATCCTCTGTGGCACTGGAACAGAGCTGGATGCACTGTCCTGTCCTTAAAATTAAATAATAGCATTTTTCCACTGCCTGGGCTTGCTATTGTTGCCTAAAGCGGGTAAGTTTAAAGCAGATATTTCCAGGAGAGGCGCAGTTTGATTGCTGATGATTCCATTGATCCTCTTTGACAGTGGCACATTTGGAAAACAGCCCTTCCTGGCTTTTGGGAGACCTTATTCCATGCAGCACTTGGTAATGGGTCTCCACCTTCCTGACTGATTAAATTCAGCCTCAGAGAGGCTGGTTTAATGCTGGGGAATAAAATCCTCTTTTATGTAAGATATCTTACCCTTTAGATGACAGGCACAGGGCAGAGATGAGCCATTACATCTTTAGAATTTATTTTTTTCCATAAAGAGCAGAGCTCACGATGTGTCACTGTTGAAAGACTAACATGGGGCTATTTTTAGAACAGACATTTTCAAGAGAAAAAGCTGAATTACACCAGTGCTTTTGCTACTCTCTCTTCTTCCACAGGCTCATTTACAGATTATTTCCTTGTCATTCCTCAGGGATCTTGCTCTGCTCATGTCCACAGCAGATGTGGCAGTGAGATGGTTTTTCGCTTGATTTTGTGGCTCCTCTCTTTAGAACTGCATCAGGGATGTGCCGTTTGCTTTTCCCATGAAAATCCCTCCCTTTCCACGTGTGTTTCCAATGGCTGAACTCTGGAAAGGGCTCTGCCTCCAGCCAACGAGGCACTGGGCTCTTGACCCCTCCTGACAAACACTTGCACCCCAACACATTTGTTCCCCTCTGCAGATTCCTCACAGCCAACAAGAAAATTTAATTTTGATTATTGTAAAAGTTTGCTTGAGGGTGGGGCCTGTCTTAGACCTGCTCGAGGGCTTTCAAGAGGAAGAGGCAAAGAGAAGGGACACAAGGATGGGGACAAGAAGGCTGAGAAACAACCCTGCCAGGCTTTTTCCTTGTGCCCATATTTTACTTTTGGGTAATGTTAGCCCTGATAAAAATATCTTTCTCTTAATTTTTAGGTGGGTCAGCTGGTCACTACATCAGTTTTATGACCCACCTATAAAAATACAGTTCAGGTGCTGGAGGCAGTAATTAGCTCAGAGCTGAATCTGCATTAAATATACATATATCATTCACCTCAGTAGCAGTAACTCATCCATAGCTCCTGAAATTTGTTTGTTTGGACAGGCTGATAAATTTATCAACGTCAATAAGAGCAGCTTAGTTGGACAGGAATTGTTCTGAGTTTTTGAGGTACACACACACCCAACACGCATCCATGACCAGCCTCCTGTGAATGCAACAAAACTCTATAAAAAAAAGCAATCACTCCACAGAAATGCCAACACAAGCGTCCCTTGCCTTCTTTAGTAGGGATATGGTTTGTTACAGGTTCAGGATTTGGGTTCAGGAAGGATTTAGACCAAACAAGTACAAAGGAGCAGTTGAGTGATTGATACCCCACAATCAGCCACAGCTGGACTGGGAACACTGGAGTCTCACTGCCCCAGTCACAAGAATCCCCCATCACCTGATTAGAATAATGGAATAGTTTCAGTTGGAAGGGACCTTTTAAAGGTCCCATCCCTGTGTGGCCTGTCCTGTGTCTGGACACAAGCCCTGTGCAGACCCCACGTTCCTCCCTCGTACCCACAAACTCTGCGCCTTCCTGCAGGGTGGAAGCTTTGGGCCAGGGCACCAAGACTTCTCTAAGTCAGATTAAAGATATATTGAAGACATTCCGTGCAATCCTGGTCAGTGATGCAGCTCCTGGCATTATTTATGGGGTTGGGACAGTGCATCCAGCAAAAATGTGGGCTCAGATTTGCCTC